ACCTAGCCAGGCTAAGTGTTGCACGAACCCAGTATTTAGCCCCCTGTGCTTAGGGTTCAGAGTTATAACCAGGGTCAGAATAAAGGATCAATTGAGCGATTCAAGGTTCAGTTAAGCACAGGTATGTTCATGGCAACTACCCCACCGTTCAAAAACACAGCTTGGAAGTCACTTCGGCTTTGGCCCGAACTGTTGCAGGGAGAGAGAGAGAGAGAGAGAGAAAAGAAGCAACTTCGGTGAATCAAGAGTCAGCTTTATTAATTTATTTAATTGAGCTTCTAGCGGGGAACAAAGGATCCGATAAAGTCATATTTTTTTTCTTTCTCCCTCCCTAAGTGTATAACAGAAAAGGCGACGCTCTCAAATCCCCCCCACCCCCACAACCCCGTTCGACGTGTTCTTTTCCCCCTTTTACTGCCATCTTGTAAACTATGATACATTGTGTTTATTTTAAAGCAAGTTTCAGTACATCTCGATGTCTCTAGACCAGGGGTGAAATCCAGCAGGTTCTGACAGGTTCTGGAGAACGGAAATTTTGAGCAGTTTGGCGAACCGGTAGCGGAAATTTTGAGTAGTTCAGAGAACCAGCAAATACCACCTCTGGCTGGCCCCAGAGTGGGGAGGGAATGGGGATTTTGTAGTACCCTTCCCCTGCCACGCCCACCAAGCCATGCCCGCCAAGCCACGCCCACAGAACCAGTAGTAAAAAAGTTTGGATTTCACCACTGCTCTAGGCGATGTAATTAAAAGCAACTGTAATTAAGATCGTACTGCCAGAGAAGAAGCTTAAAAGAATTGGAAATAAAAAGAGAAAGGTCAAAAAGCTATCTAGCTAGAGACTCTTATTGTCTCTAACCCTTTTTGATAGAGGCGAGTTGCTTTCCCTAACAGCGATGCAAGATAAAAAAAAAAAAAAAAGCTCATTCAAATCCAGCAACGAATTGTTAAAGAGCGGCCAACAGCTCAAGTCTCTCGGGGCGCCCGGCGTTCAGTTCTTTCTTCCATCCGCGTTCCAGCCTCAGCGCTTGCAACACGCGAAGCTTTAAGTGTTTTGCATTTGTAGACCGCTGATGTTACTCAGCCGCCGCTCGTTCGGCCCCCGGGGCTTGAAAAAGGGGGGGAGGGAGGGCTTCGAGCTATTGACTTCAAACTCTCTTCGCCTCTTCTACTCTGCAAGCTGGACTCCTGGTCCCCTTCCTTGGGGATCTCTTCAATCCACGGATGCTTCGAAACGGGAGGCGAAACGCGTTTCTGGAAAGGGAGGACCACGGGCCAGCCAACCCGGAATCCTATCCTATCCCCCCCCCTTTTTTTAGGAGCGAGGCCTCTCTCGGACCGCCTGGCGTTTCGATTTGAAAAGCAAACTTCGTCATGGCTGGTTTCGAGCCTCCCAAATCTTGTCTTTCGAAGGAAATCGGTGGGTCGCGGGAATAGAGAGAGGGCAGTGGTGAAATCCAAATATTTTTTACTACCGGTTCTGTGGGCGTGGTGTGGTGTGGCTTGGCGGGCGCGGCTTAGTGGACGTGGCAGGGGAAGGATACTGCAGAATCTCCATTCCCACCCCACTCCAGGGGAAGGATACTGCGAAATCTCCATTCCCACCCCACTCCAGGGGAAGGATACTGCAAAATCCCCATTCCCTCCCTACTCGGAGGAAGGATATTGCAAAATCTCCATTCCCACCCCACTCCAGGGGAAGGATACTGCAAAATCCCCATTCCCTCCCTACTCCTGGAGGAAGGATATTGCAAAATCTCCATTCCCACCCCCACTCTGGGACCAGCCAGAGGTGGTATTTGTCGGTTCTCCATACTACTCAAAATTTCCGCTACCGGTTCTTCAGAACCTGCTGGATTTCACTCCTGGGAGAGGGGAAGGAAGGGAGAGAGAACCCCGGGGAAGGGGAGGGGGGGACATGGTGATGCCAGGGCAGGTTTTTCTTAATAAAACCAACAGCTGGAATAAAAAAAAAATCTCTGCCTTGCACAAACAGCCCATCAAACGCCAGCAGGCTGATGCCCGGGGACTGACTGTGTTTAACGCGGAGTGTTTAGCTTCCTTGTTGTGATCGAAAGTCTTACACACAAGCAAGCACGAAACGGCCGAGAGGAGAACGGGTGGAGGGGAAAGTGGGGGCCGGGGAGGGGACCCCGGGAAACTCCGCTCAGAAGGCGTGGCGGTGGGAAGGAACAGCTTCGCCGCCCGGCCGGCGCGCAGGGTAGACCAACGCCGCGGATGGGGGCGGTGGTGGGGGAGAATCGTCGAGCATCTCTAAGTTTAGCAACAGCAGCGCCTCCGTCGAGTCGGGGTTTTTTTTTTTTCTTCTCTCCCCCTCCGAGCGTCAAGGCGGTTCAATAGGAAACCTTCGCCAGCCCTGCTCTCTTCCCCAAGGCGGTGCAATCTTGGGCTGCAAGAGAGCCGGAGTGGGTTGGGGACGATGGGAACTGGAATCCGACACCAAGGATGGGATGATCGGTCTTTTGACCTGCCGGAGACTTTGAGATCTGATTGGCAGGAAGAGGGGGGGGACAAAAATGGGGGGGGGAATAGATGACCTTTTAGGAGGGACTCCGATTTCGGTTTTCACTGCCACGGGGCAAGTCCCCTTCCGAGCTCGCTCGCTCTCCCCCTCCCTCCCCCCCTCTCTCTCCCTCCCTCCCCCCCTCTCCCTCTCCCTCCCTCTCTCCCTCCCTCTCCTTCTCTCTCTCCCACTCCCTCCCCCCCTCTCTCTCCCTCTCTCCCTCCCTCTCTCCCTCTCTCTCCCTCTCTCCCTCCCTCCCCCTCTCTCTCCCTCCCTCCCTCTCTCTCCCTCCCTCTCTCTCTCCCTCCCTCTCCTTCTCTCTCTCCCTCTCCCTCCCTCTCTCTCCCTCCCTCTCCGAGTCGTCCCCAAATCTGTTGCAGTTTCTTGGCGCGCTCTGTATGCAAATGAAGGGTCTGGTCCGGTCCCGCCCCTTGGCTTTAAGGGAGGGGGGGCAGGGGGGAGCCGGAGATGCCGGTTCGGCTTTCTGCGTCGCCTCGTCTTTTCTTCTGGTTCCACGTTTCTTCTCTCTCCCCCCCCCCACGAAAAGGCAGGGCCAATAGGAGGCTGGGGTCCGGCTCCGTCCCTCCCTCTGCTGTTTTATTGACACCTCCTCAAAGTTCTCTCTCTCCCCCCCCTTCCCCCTCCCCCAGCCGTCTCCCCCTCCCACTAGCCAAAGGAGACGGGGCGGGAGGTGGGGGGGGGATTGAAAATGTTTTATTACCTCTGAGTGGTTGTTTGGGATCTGTCAGAGGAAGGCGAGCCGCGGAAAGAGCGCGCCACGAAGGCAAAGACGCCCCGCAGGAGCCCAAAGAAGGCGGCGGAAAGGTGAGCCGCGCGATTCCCCCACCCCCATCCCCCCAAAAAAGAGGAAAGCGGGAAAAAGCCAGGAGCCAAACCGGAGAAGACCCCCCCCAAAAAAAGGATCTGCCCAGCCAGCCGCAGAGGGAGCGCCCGGACCCGCCTTGCCTGCCTTTAGGAAGGAGGGAAAGAAAAAGAAAGAGAAAGAAAGAAAGAAAGAAAGAAAGAAAGAAAGAAAGAAAGAAAAAGAAAAGAGGGTAGAAATTCTTCTACATGTCCGAAGATCGGGGAGATTTTCTCCGCAGGCGACCCGGGCTAAAGGAAGAAGAGGCGGAGGAGGAGGAGGAGAGGCGCCGCTGCTGCTTTCTCTCTTGGGATCAAGCGATCGCGTCCGGAGGGAGCGCAGGATCTCCGAGCAGAACCCGAGAAGGGGCTCTCCAGCCGCGGAGGAGGGAAGCGGCGCCCAGCAGAGTCCGTCCGCCCGAGGCTCGGAGCCTTCGACGGGGCAGATTTCCGCGCTCCACCACCCGCCAGCCCGCTTCATTCTTGCCGCGCCGGGTGAATGCCATTTTTCTTCCCCGGGAACTTGGCTCTGGTGTCCGTTGGCCGAGCGGCTGGCAAGGGAAAGATCCGGCCGACCCGCCCTTCGCCCTGAAAGGGGCCAGAGAAGAGCCCGAAAGAGGGAAGCCACAAGGCGGACTTTACTCTCCCCACTCTCCGTTGATCCCGCCGGTAGATCTTCGCCTAGAAGTTCCGATCCTTCCACGAAAGTTTCCAGCCCCTCCGGTACCCCACTTCTTTGAGGGCGCCGGCCAAAGTTTGGAAGAGTTTTTACCCCGCTTTATTTATTTATTTTCGGGGACGGGATAGTGCCTCCCTCTCGGGATCCCCCGAAGAGATCCTTTCTCCTTCAAAAAGATCCACTGAACTCCTCTCTCTCTCTCCCGACAGCTTCCCAACCCGATCCGAGCAGGATCCTTTCCCGGCTTCAATCCTCGTTTTCTTCCAAAATCAAAGGGAGGATTTGAGGGTGGGTGGGGGAAGACACCCCTGAGCCCAAGGAGAGGCGCCCGACTCGCTTCTCTCCCCCGCCCTGCGCGAAACCGTCTCGGCTTCCAAACTCCGGGGAGCCTTTTCCCGAAGTTCTCTTTCCCACGTTCCTCAAACTCCTCTCGCTCCAGGCAGGCGGGCCTTTTTTTTTTTCCTATTCCGACGTCTCTGCTTCAGTCTAAGAGAAGCCAAGGAGAAACTGGGCGCTCTCTCTCTTTTTTTTTTATTCCCCTCCAAGCTTGGACAGGGAATAGATAGATAGATAGGAGAGAGAGAGACAGACAGACAGATATATAAATAGATAGATTAGAGAGAGAGAGAAAGAGAGAGAGAGAGACTGACAGCAGTTAGATAGATAGATAGATAGATAGATAGATAGATAGATAGATAGATAGAAGAGAGAGAGAGACAGACAGAGACAGACAGACAGATAGATAACTTTCCCTTTTAATGCTGGCCTCCTGAATCCAGTTTAGTCGCTCTCACTTTCTTTCTCTCTCTGCTCCGGGCAGCTCAGTCGTTCACCCCCCACCCTTTCCTCCCCCCCAACCACAGCAGAACACGCTCCCCCCCCTTGACCCCCCCCCACCCCACTTTCCTATACCCCCCCTCCCGCCATCTCTGCCCTTTTTTGGAGAGGGGGGGGAAAACCTCCCTTGGCGCCTAGACGCCGTCCCAAGAAGGCTCGGCGGCTTCTCCGAAGAGGGACCCCTCCACTCCACTCCACCCCCCCAGGTCCAGTTCCAAGCCCGCCCTGCCTGGGCTTCCCGTCCTGGGGATGCTGGCGGTGGGGCCGATGGATGGCACCCCCCGGCAGAGCGCCTTCCTGCTCAGCAGCCCGCCGCTGGCCGCCCTGCACAGCATGGCCGAGATGAAGACGCCGCTCTACTCGGCAGCAGCAGCCGCCGCCGCCGCCTACCAGCTGCCTCCCCCGGCCGCCTCTGCAGCCAGCGGACCTTCCTCCCTCTCCTCGGCTCCTTCGTCGTCGTCTTCCTCCTCCTCCTCCTCCTCTTCCTCGGCGTCCGCCTCGCCTTCCCCTCCGCTGGGCTCCCCGACCGGCCTCAAGCCCCACGGCGCGGGGGCTCTGTCGGCGCTGGGGTCGCCCCCGCAGCAGCACTCGGCCGCCACCCCGCACGGCATCAACGATATCTTGAGCCGGCCGTCCATGCCGCTTCTGGCCGCCGCCTCCGCCTCTTCCTCCGCCTCCTCTTCTTCTTCCTCCTCCGCCTCGCCGGCCGCCGGGCTCCTGGCTGGCCTGCCCCGGTTCAGCAGCCTCAGCCCGCCGCCCCCGCCGCCCCCGGGCCTCTACTTCAGCCCCAGCGCCGCTGCAGCCGCCGTGGCCGCCGTGGGGAGGTACCCCAAGCCTTTGGCCGAGTTGCCCGGCAGGACGCCCATCTTCTGGCCGGGGGTCATGCAGAGCCCCCCTTGGAGGGACGCCCGCCTCGCCTGCTCGCCCCGTAAGTATCGCCTCCTCCCTTTCCCCCCCCCCCTCCATTTGGGACCCCTTTCGCCCCCCCCACCTCCTTCCCTCCAAGCCTTGGCCCTCAAACCCTGGCTGGGGAGGCTGGCATCCCGGAGGGCTCCGGGAAAGGAAGGCTGAGCCGCTTTAAACCGGCTCTCCTTTTGGTCGGTTCTTTTTATTTATTATTATTATTATTATTATTATTATTATTATTATTATTAGTAGTAGTAGTAGTAGTAGTAGTAGTAGTAGTAGTAGTAGTATAGTATTAGTATTATTAGTATTATCATCATCATCATATATGCCTTCTCCGGAGACTCAGGGCGGCTTACAATGCGTTAAGCAATAGCCTTCATACTTTTGTATATTTATACAAAGTCAGCTTATTGCCCCCACAAACTGGGTCCTCAATTTACCCACCTTAGAAAAGATGGAAGGCTGAGTCGACCTTGAGCCTGGTGAGATTCGAACTTACAGTAATTGCAGACAGCTGGTGTTAATCACAATGCTATCAGTCTGCTGCGCTACCAGGGCTTGCTTATTTATTGGTTCGATTTATATGCCGCCCTTCCTCCGGAGACTCAGGGCGGCTTACAATGCGTTAAGCAATAGCCTTCATACTTTTGTATATACCTGCTTAGTAGGGCTTTCGGGGGGGGCCCTAAGCGGTGTTCTTTTTTTATACAAAGTCAGTTTATTGCCCCCACAAATCCGGGTCCTCATTTTACCTACCTCGGAAGGATGGAAGGCTGAGTCAACCTTGAGCCTGGTGAGATGAACTCGCAGTAATTGCAGGCAGCTGGCAGTTAAGTGCTACTTAACAGCACTTTAGTCGGCTGCGCCACCAAGGCTCTTACCTATTTTTTAATCTCCAAAGCGGTTCCTTCTACCCACCCCGGGATTCCTGATTGTGCTACCCCAATTCTGCAGGGAAGAAGACTACACCCCACCCCACCCCACCGTCCAACCTTTGCTGTTCTCCTTGGACAATGGGCCCACCCCACCCGACATCTGCCCCCTCCGCCCAGCTGTGCCTTCCCTACCAAATCCTTTCCCTGGGCCGGAGAACCTGGGTTGGATAGGGAGGTCGTGAGTCTCATTCTCCACCCCTTCCCTGCATCCCCTCCCTTTCCGAACTCCGTAAAGCAGGGGTCTCCAACTTCGGCAATTTTAAGCCTGGAGGACTTCAACTCCCAGAATCCCCCAGCCTGGCAACTTTAAGCCTGGCTGACTTCAACTCCCAGCAAAGGGGAATTCTGGGAGTTGAAGCCCTCCAGGCTTAAAGTTGCCAAGGTTGGAGACCCCTGCCGTTAGAGGACTGGTGCCCTCCAGCTTCTTTGGGCCACAACTCCCACAATTCCTTGCCCTGGGCTGGCGGGGAGTTTAATGGGAGTTCCCTGCCCCACCGCTGGAGGGCAGCCGCTTGGCACTCTCCGCCACTCTGCTACTTTGCCCTTTTTCCAAGTTGAAAGTCGGAGCTTGTCTGGGGGGAGCCCAGGCCGACAATCCAGGGCTGGCCATTCGCTCGAGAGCCTTTGCCCTCTTTCTGGCTTCGACCTGCTGCCCTCTCCGGATGGGTTGCGTTATTTTGAAGGCGGGGAGGGAGGGTTGGGGGGGTGAATCATGGTAGTTGTAGTCCCAGCCATCCTAGTAGACGGGGAACAGGCTCTGCTTTGAATCCTACTCAGTGCCCCCCACCCTCCCACCCAACTCTGCAGGGGAGAAGAGCGAAAAGAATTAATTTAATTTAATTAATTCAATTTATATGATTTATAAGAAAGAAAGGGCCTGGTGGCTCAGCAGACTGATAGCATTGTGATTAACACCAGCTGTCTGCAATTACTGCAAGTTCGAATCTCACCAGGCTCAAGGTTGACTCAGCCTTCCATCCTTTCAAAGGTAGGTTAAATGAGGACCCAGTTTGTGGGGGCAATAAGCTGGCTTTGTATAAATATACAAAGGTATGAAGGCTATTGCTTAACGCATTGTAAGCCGCCCGAGTCTCCGGAGAAGGGCGGCATATAAATCAAATTTAAAAAAAAACCGCTCTCGAAATAAAAAAAAAACCTGGGAGTCACTCATTCACACGTGAGAGCAACTGGGGTCCAGGCGCTTCAAAAGAACCGCTGCCTTCAGAGGTCGTTTAAAGTCTAAGCAACCGCTAGAACAAGCAAACCCTCCTCGTAGCTCCCCTCTCTTGCTTTCCTCTTAAAGCGGGGCGCCTGGGGTTGATGCTTCATTTAGCAACGGAGCTGCCTCCCCCGATTCCTGCGGCTTCTTGGCCAACCCTTCCCCGGAGTCGTTTTAACGCCCCCTTGTCGTTTTAACGCTTCTTTCCCCTGGCCTTTAAAGAGCGAGGCTCCAAGTCCCAAACTCTCCACGAACATTTGGAGAAAAAAGAAATTCGTCCTTTTCTGGCTACTGGGGTGTTTATAGGCCGCTTTTTCCACCCCACCCCCCCACGAAAGCATATCCAGGGGGTGGGGAGGGGGACGCACTGAACCCGGCAGCCCCGTCCCTTCCGTGGGGGGGGGGGGGAGAGACTCGCTCCGAAGCCGGTTCCTTTGAAAATTCGTGGGGTTCACATTCTTGAGTGAACTTGGTTACGGTGGCTTGCTATGAAGGCCGGCCGCCGGGGCGCTTTTGTTCTGGCTTCCTTTTTAAAATCCTTTTCTTTTTTTGGTGGTGGTGGTGGGGGGGGGGGAAGCAGTGGAAGGGGAAAAAAGGAGACCCCCACTGCAATATCTTCTTTGCCTCAAGCGAGAGAACTTCCAGTCCTAATGGAAATTTAGACATCCGTCTCAGTTGAGGGGCCAAATGTTAGTATTTTAAGTAATAAGTCTGGCTCTTTATTTAGTCACATTTTCCCTCTAAGGGAAAACTCCGGTCTTTAATATAGATAGACCATTTTTCCTTTCCTTTCCTTTCCTTTCCTTTCCTTTCCTTTCCTTTCCTTTCCCTTCCTTTCCTTCCTTCTTTTCCTCTTTTCCTTTCCTTTCCTTCTTTCCTTTCCTTTCCTCCTTTCCCTTCCTTTCCTCTTTCTTCCTTCCTTCTTTCCTTCCCTGCCTTCGTTCACTGCCTTATCTTCTTCATCTAGCCCTGTAATATTTTTCTAAAAAAACTTCTTAAACCCTGAATGCCAAATCCAAAAAAAGGAGGTTTCTAGTAGTACTCCCCCCCCCCAAACTAACAATTCTTGCGAACTTCTTACTCGGAAAAACTGTTCCGGATATCTTCCGTTTTCGGGTGCTCTACTCTCTTCCGTTTTTTTTTTTGTGGTTGTTCTTGTTGTTTTGCCCCCGAGACAAGGCGAGTCGAATCGGCATTTGATTCAGCAACGGAGCGAGGCCCAAACCCATCACTGCTGTTTCACAAACGGCGCCGGTTGCTTCAATTTCCGAGTGCTGAAATTTCCCCTTTCCCGTTGAGCAAAAACGCAGCGCTGGGCGGAATATATACATATTTTTTTTTTGCTGCTGTTACCCTTTTGAAGATTCTGTGCGAACCTCTCGGTATCTCCGACCTTATATTGTGGTCCCTTAACGTGGCATCTTCCCCCTTTCCCTTTTTTTCCCCTCCCTTAGATCAAGGCTCCATTTTACTGGATAAAGACGGCAAAAGGAAACACACGAGGCCGACGTTTTCCGGCCAACAGATCTTTGCTTTGGAAAAGACTTTTGAGCAAACCAAATACTTAGCTGGGCCGGAGAGAGCGAGGCTCGCCTATTCGCTGGGAATGACGGAGAGTCAAGTCAAGGTGAGCGGTTTGTGCGGGCAAAGCAAAAAAAAAAAAAAAGAGAGAGAGAGAGAGAGAGACGGTCCCGATTCAGACGTTCGTTCGTTCCCTCGCTCGGGGCGGGCAAGGCGGCTTATGGTCGTTCACAGACCGTGGGGGAGGTGGGCGCCCTTTAGTCCTCTAGTCCTGGGCAAAAAACCGAAGGGGACCGCGCTCTTAAGTCGTGATAAAGAAAATTAAGGTCCGGTTCATGGATTTCTTCTACAAAACACCTTAGGCAAAATAGCGATTTTTATAGATAGATAGATAGATAGATAGATAGATAGATAGATAGATAGATAGATAGATAGATAGATAGATAGATAGATAGAGATATACATTCAGCTCTTCCTGTTTCTAACTCACTTCCCCAAACTGTCTCGAAATTAATGAGAAAAATAAATATTTTCGCCCCAGCCCCAGCCCCCCCCCCAAGAACACCCCCCCTCTCTCTCTCTCACACACACACACATACACATACCTGACCGTTCCTTCTGTCCAGGTTTGAATCAGCAGGATTCAAGCGTTGTGAAAATGAACGGCTGGTAAAATAACCTTTATGGATCTGTGTTGATGAACTAAGCCGGAGAAGTATGTTGAAAAACAGCCGATCTGCAAGACTGGTTAAAAACCAAGATTGAATTTGCATTTAGTAGCGGGGGTAAACTCAACCTAATGATCAAGTAAAAGAGGCTAGGAGCTTAGGGCAGCTTTTAAAAAAGCGCAAGGGCTAAAAGCAAGTTCCAGAAGGGTACCTGGCTGTGTAAATAGGAATTGTTTGGCATTTTGCGGTAACTATTCAGGAGCAGGTGTCAATGAGTGACCCTCAAATCCTATGCACCCACACACAAACTTAGGGCAATCCTAAACTCTAGGCCTTTTAAAAAAAGTGGAGAAGATCTAGCCAGGTGTTCTTTTATTTTAAATCCTCTGCCCAGCGTTCCCCCGACTGGATTCGTTTTCTTTCTCTACTGGCCCATTGAAGTCGATGACTCAGAACTGGAACAAGGCAGGGAAGCCTAAGTCAAATTTGGGGTTGTGTTTTAACTGGTTCTTGTAGTGAATCTGGAATGAAAAATATCCACTCTATCCGATCCCTTCAAACACTCAGCCATCGCTTGGGTGGTCTCCCTTCTCTATGCAGATGCTCCCATCCATCTCCCAACCTTTGAAGGGGACCCACACTTCTGTAAGAAGGCTGTGATAGGGTTGTCTTGTGAACTGTGGACAGTCAAGGCCAACGCTGCGAGAGGCACACCAACTTGTGCGTTAGAGTAGTGTATTTGGCAATGTGTTCCTGCGTTGAAGACCTAACTCTTCTCTTCCCCTCCCCCCCAATCATCATTGACTTAAGAATCCCCGAGACATCTCTGTTACTCTTTGGTGTAAATTTGTTCATTCTTACCCTCCTCTGAAACTCCTGAGAAATGCACCCTGAAGACAAATGTATTGAATTTAGTAAAGCCTAAAAGGTTGGTGGATTAAAATCCACCTACAGTTGTAGTTGAGCAAGAACCCTCTACTTCTCTAAAGCTGAAGTCAGGATAAACAGAACCATTTTAAGATGCCCTTGGAAACCATTATTTCCCTTGCCTTCGCTGTGTAGTAATGGGGGAAAATATTCTGTATCTCAGTGCACTTCAAGGTTTGTGATTATTTCAATTGTTCATTCATACTGCTGGGATTTCACAAAAGCAGAATTAAAGCCAACTTTTCTGTACAATTATGGGCATGCATATCACACACACACACACACACACACACACACAAATTGTGTAGCATACCTAACAAATTCAGACATTTTTGGAAGAAAATTTCCTGTTGTACTTTCCATATGTGGAAATAAATCTTATCAAACTCATTACAAATTTTGTTTCTGGGTGGGCATCTCCAGGACTAAACTTTACCTTATGTTGACCCCAGCAAGGAGCAAAACCTAAGTAATCATTCTCTTTCCCCCCACTCTGTTTTATAATTCCTTTATAGGTCTGTATAAAAAATAGACTGTTATAGCTGCCCTCCTGTATATTCATGTGAATATAAGTGTTCCCTACAACGGAATCATTTCTGAGCAGACCAACAAAGGTTTACACTGGAAAGCTGCAAATTAATTCAGTTTTTCATTTATATGGAAGGAATCATTTTTTAAAAAAACTTCTAGATAGCTGTAGGAAATAGATCCAAATTTGAGGGATAGAAAATAAAGCTTAACCAGTCCAGCTCTCTGACCAGTTCATCTGTTTCTACTCTTGATGTTTTGTTAAAATTCAGTTCTGATTATTTACTCACTTTTCAGATAGTCAGTCACTGAGTCAATCTTTCTAGTAGAAGCATATAGGATTGTACTGAGCATAAAAGTGTAAATGGGGCTGTTTGGATTGGGTACTTCTGCTTGTGGGTATTTTCGTTTTGCAAGTGGGAACTCGGGAGAGCTTTGCAACTGTTTGAACAAGAAGGACCTTTTCTCTGGGTGAAAAGAACTAAATGAAGCATAGAGGTCGATCTAATTTGGTGGTTGCTCAGTTCCTTGAATTGATTTCAGCAGAAAATGAAATCTTGTCTGATAGAGCAACTGGGAATGTTATAAGAATAGCAAATCTTTTTTCTTTCTCTCTCTCTCTCTCTTTCCCTTTCTTTCTTTCTCCTTCCTTCCTTCCATCCATGAAACCAATGAATCTTTTTACAAGCTGTTTCTTTCTGGGTATTCAAATGGATGAGGTGGGGGGGGGGGGAGGGGGGGGGGGAGGGAAGGGAAAGCCTCCCTTTTACAAATTGTCACTTTATTCCAAAAGTTATCCAGAGACCCTCATTTGTCACTGTAAATATGTGGGAAAGGCTTTGAATAAATGACTGCTTTTTCCACTGATAGCAACATGCCTCACCATTTAGTGCAGTGTGTTTGAGGAGGTGGGGGTATTTTTTTTTTTTAAAGGGTGCATTGTGAATCAGATGTTAATTTGCCCCACATTTGAACAAAACCGTCTGGTCCAGAATGGGAAATGAAGGTTTCATATGTGTTTTGTTTCTTAAGTCCACCAAGCGGAAAATGCTACACTTTTTGTTAGCACTGTGTTTACTCTGAGTAAGTCCCGTCCGTAGTGAAGGTGGTTTACCACAGAGCAGGAAATTTTAGTCTGGTCTTGACATTTGTTCAATATCTTCCATCTGATCTCAAACTCAAGCTCCAAAAAAGTTTGGTGCAGAGCTCATTTAGGCGGCCTTGATGTCAGCAGGAATGAAGTGCAGTCAGCTCTTATTTGGTTGTAATTTTAAAATTTTAAAATTATATATTTATATATATAAAAAAAATTTGGCCCTCCTCCACTGTCCATAGGAAGTTTTTGTCTTTCAACAATAAATACTATTTTCTGTATTTAGCTTTGTCCTACGGTATAAGAATATATTGAGTGGCCTGTAATAATACATGAAGAAATAACAAATTGAATCCCCAAAAGGACGTGTAAAAATAAAAGGCAAAAAACACAGCACATATGTCTATTTGGAGCAAAGCCTCGTTATAGCTATATGGTTTTCTGCCCCAAGTCTCCAGTTTTATGCGTTTCTTACTGACAGTAAATAGCTTTTCCTTCTACTGGGTTTCCTCCCGAGTAAACAGCACCGCTTCTCGCTTCAAGCAGCCCCGAAAAGTTGCACTTAGACTCGGTTACATTTACTTGGATGCAGTTTGTCACAAAATGAAAACCAAGGGCTATCTCCGTGCATTGCGTTAAACCATTACTTAACCCAATTGCAACAAAGCGTGTACGGTTTATTTAGCACGGAGTATGAATGCAACCGGTTGACTTTATGGTGTGCAAATGTATTCATCTAATTTCGAAGTCATAAGGGTGGAGAAAAAAGAAAAGGAGAGAAGCAACTTGTTTGTTTCCACCCCGTTCTGCTTGTCTAGTCTCCCCTCCGGCCATCTGGCACTTTTGACTTAACCAATGCTAGGTTTCCACTTTCAATTGACTGAGAGGTGAGGAGGAAGCAAGAATAAATGAAAGAAGACGCATCTAGAGATCAGGGAAGGAAAGCGGGAAGGAGAAAAAAAAGGGGGGGTGTACCTCAAATCAGAGGGGTGGAAGAGAGCAGGAAGGGGAGAAAGAAGAAAGGAAGAAGGTAGAAATAACAGGTTGTAGCAGGGAGAAAAAGAAAAGGAATCTAAAGGCGAAACCAGTCCAGCAGTCTGTGCAAAAAGTTAATCGAGTCCGTTTGGGCTGCTATTGTTGCCATTCTCCACACAGTGGGGCTGCTTTAATTTCCATAACTATATTGGGATTAATAATTGCAAAACTTTTTGTGTGTGTCTGCGCAGAAGGACGATTCACTTTAACTTCCTGGGGCTTTTTTTTTATTTTGAAGCATGCCCTCTCCCACACTTGGCTTTTCGCTGCAAAAACTCCCTTCTAGCGAAGGACTGTGGCCTTTAGCAACAGTCTACACAGGATTATAAAAAACTGACTCACACAATCTTGTTAAAAAGAGGATAAAATGCCAGGAAGCCAAGTCCAGATACAAGGATGGGGAAAAGTATTGAATTGGTGAAAGGCAGCTTCATCTTTTTCTGCCTGGTTTCAATGGTGGGTTCCATGCAAGGCAAGGCTCAGCTACTACTGAATCTTTACAACAGCCGTGTTACTCAACCAAATGCTCTCTCTTAGCTGGTTGGCATGCCCTTCTCCTGTTATGTGTGGATGGTGGGCATTGTAATGAACCCATCTGAAAGACACTCGTGCAGGAAAGAGCTGTTTGGCAGCATGGTCTCAACTGTCTGAAGTTTTGGTGGCATTTGGGAAAATGGGAGGTAATAAGTTGCAGGGAATGAATATAATAAGCAAATTATCAGTCCAGGTAAAGTTTTATTCTGTGTGCTTTTGCTAATACACAGGTCCTTTCAGCTCAATAAAGAGTTCTTCTTCAGCAAATATACTTAGCATCATAAGCAGACTCTGACTACGTATTGGGTGTGAGATAATTTA